GACTTGAACTGAGATCTGGAACAAGTAAACGTAATTAACATTTATAGAACTCTCCACTTTAAATACACAAAATATACACTCTTATCAGTACCACATCATATCAACTTAGAAGTTTAAACGAAATGTTGGTTGGCTCCTTGTTTGTTATTCTCTTCCCTCATTTTCTTTTATGTCTCCATTATTAAGTACAATTATAGGCATACCCATATTTAGACTGCATTCTAGCCCGGGCAATAAAGCAATACCCCCATCCTCTCTCCCTCTTCCTCTTTCTCTTTCTTCCTCTTCTTTATTCTTTTTCTTATTATATAAAAAAAAAAGGATAATAAGGGGGTAACAGAATATGTTTTCTTAAAAAGAGGACAGAGTCCAAGAGGGTCAAGGATCACAGTCTGGTCCATAATGATTACTCAATGCATGAGAGAAGACAGCAAGTCACAAGTCTTCTACATTTACCCCTGCACTGCTTTATTTCATGACTATCATGTATTAGTTGATCCCGTGATGGCCAGAAGGAGTTAACTCTACGACGTAACGAATCTAACTTTCTATGAGGTAGCTGAATGAGGAGTCGGAAGTCCAGGTTTCTAGTTTCTGCTCTGCCGCTACCACTGTGACCTTTAGCAGTTCATCATGATCACTGTAGGTCCCCATTATTTCTGTAACCATAAAATGAGGACACGGGAATAAATTACTTTTAAGGTTCTTTCCAGCTCTATTAAAAAATGCATAATTTTGATCCTAAGACTTAGGCACTGATAAGAAGAAACGGATTCCTTTAATAAATGTATATGAAATTTATCCTGTGAGTCTCAATTATATTTCCAACCACAATATTTCTTTAAAAATATTCAGTCTAGTCAAGTCTTTAAAAAATGCCATGCTTATAAAAAATGAAAATGTTTCCTCAAAAAAAAGCATCCCTAGACTTTATGCAGTGAGCACATTTATGATGAGAACATAGTCTCTATTCGGAAGGGTACATCTACTTTTCTATCACCATTCTCCTTATTTCTATAAAAGTTACAGTTTTGCTGTGAATTTTTGAAATAAAAATGATCTTATCTTATTTTCCCATTATATATTTTTGGCAGTTCTAACCTTCCACACAGAGATTTTCTAAATTCAAATAGTCCACAGAACTAACAATTCAACAAAATCTACGTCCACTAAACACTGGCTATAAACAAGATGTTTAATGCTATGTTATGAATCAGCTTCTTGCTCAAGTAACTCATCCACAACCAATTTTGCCCTAGTGCTTTTGAAAAACACAATAGAAATCTGTTAAATTGGCAGTCTTGCTGAACTTCAACTATTTTATCTAACCTGGTCCACTGGAACAATTGAGAGCTTCTCTTTGATGAAATGTGTTTTTGATTTGGAGTATAGGTACAGAGATCAAATGAACCAAACCCCTTATTTAGATGGCTTCTTGCTACTCCTTCTCTTGGAAAGGACATATTCACATATAAGGTCTAGGAATGTCATTTAATGCCAAACACATATGTATTCTTTAGGAAAACACTTAAAACTGCAGTGCATCCTAATTTGGTTTTCAGGATCACCCCATTATCACTTTTAAAAATATATTAACCACCTCTTTTACATGTAAAGTGGGATTGAATTTCTCAAACTTTGACTCTAAGACTTTTATTTTTGCTGGGAACATATCTAGTCCTTAACATACATTCATTAAACTGGTATACAATCAAGCTTTGATTATCTTTCTGTGAATTATATATAATCTCCTGCAAAGTTTCATACCAGGTTTGCTTACTCTGCCACCCAGCTTGTTTCTGGGAAGGCTGTCCATCTTCCCCACCTCCCCACAAATGGGTTTTGGTGTTTGAGGTATGTAAGCTCATTTAAAAATTAACCTAAACGCAACAAAATAATTAGAAAGGCAACTTGCTCACAATAACAATGAAAATCTTTTTCAAACTAAACATGCAATACATTCCAAAGACAAACACAGATGACTTTTTAAATAACCATGATTTTACATTATCTTTGACTCTATTTCTCTCATTAACATGAATAATTCAGAGTACTTACTATACATGGTGAAACTGTTTCCCCTAAATAATTCATTTTTAGTATACAGAAAAACAAGATGTAACATGTTCTTATGTAATATCCAAAGGCTTTAATTAGACTATATTTTTAAAGGCAACTTTACTTTCAAAATTATCTACAGTTTGGGTTTATTCTGTCCAATGCAATCCTTCTAAATTAGGAGAATCTTAACACTTTCAGGTCAAAGAGCAGTATAGAGCAGTGTAGCTAGTGATAATGCTCCACTTTTTCTTGGTTCCTGATAACCTTTAAGTGCATATCAATTATTTGTAAAGTATGAAAAAGATCATTATCTTTTTCCTCAAAAAATATGAAAATGCTTTGGGACATTGAGCCTATATTTGAGTGAAGAGAATTTTCCTAATCTGCTGTCTATGCTAAAGGAACAAACTATTTATTAGGTAACTGAGGTTTGAATGATAAAAAATACTCTAACATTGAAGTTTTAATTAGAGCAAACACCCCTAAATGGGAAACTTTTCTTGGATAGGGGAACTGAGTATCTCAAATTTTGCTTTATTGATGACACCAACAAAGCAAACAATGTGAATCTATCTGCTGATTACATACCAACTCATCCAGATTCCCCAATACAAATATAAAGGACACTATAGAAGTAAACATGTTATTCATATCCTATCCCACATCCTTTGCCATTCATATCCAATATTTACGTGGGCAACTATGTGCATTTCTTAGTTCTACAGAATTTGGAGTTTGTAATATTAAGTTAGTTCTTATTTTGTAAATTCTTTCTTGGAAGATGTTACACTCTAACCACACTAACTTTCTGAAGTCACAGGGCTGTTTAATGCACTGCTTCAGAGCATCAAATGCATCCTTGTGACAGGAAGAAAGGAAAAGAAGGTCATCAGGAGGACCCTGCGGCTGTACTAATTTCCAATTTCTGGTAACAAAAAAAGTGGTGGGAAAAAAGCAATCAGATTTTTACTGGAGTATACGCCAGCTTTGGCCAAATTCTTTGAAACTTTCAAAATGTCTTCTTTCATTGAAAATAAAAGAAGCAAAGCTTGTGGTGTAATAAGCCAAACACAACAGTTACTGAACTTGGGTTAACATCAGATACCATTACAGCTTTCAGGATGGTCATGCGAATGTATGGAATGAGTAAGTACGTTTAGATACCTGTGAAAATAAAACATTGTGCTGTGAGTGGGAGAGAACAGATGGTTGGTAATGATTTAAAACATTTATGTTTTTGGACTATCACCAAGCCTCTGTATTAAAAAAAAATATGGTGTTTAGTTGGTACACACCAACATCTATATGCAAGGTCCTCATTTTCTGGTGGACAGTACTATAATGAAGGAGATAAAAGCCAAATGAGGGAAGAGAAACATTCTTCTTGTTTTCTGGAGGTATTCAGTGTGTGCTATTTCTTATTGACTATATGCAACCTAAATGTTTTCCATGTGATGAGAGGATTTTAATTTTTCCTCAATGACTAGTCCACTGTAAGTGCCTAGGAATCATATTCTGTTTGTCTGTGTAGAACTGTAATATTGTTTTGTAAATTTGATTCACTTTGACTGAAGCTCTTATACCCTTTGAGCAATAATAGAAGGTAGTTCCCGGTACTCTTGCCCATGAAAAACAATAGCATTCACCTTCTCCTCAAGTGGGTTGGCAAGCATATGGTGTTATGATTACGTACTAGAATTAGCAGGTACCAGGCAACTGAATTAGAAGACAGATAAATATTAAATATGGTCACACTGCAGTTGGGTGTGTATATGAGTTGAAAAGAAGCCCATGTCCTTCAAACCGAGAGGAATAACAGTGTAAATAAAATTGTGCAAGATACATTAATGCAATACTGAGGTTAAAGCGAAGAAAAATAAACATTGGTAATACTCTCAATTATCAGAAAAACGGAGAAAAGGGAGTCCTATTAAGCATCCACGGCGTTTTGACTTGGATCTAATAGCATGATGGGGGAAAAAGTCACACACACACTGTATATTATTCACTTGCCATCGCTTTGAAAACCCTGGGAATTACGCAGGCACAGTTTGTTTGTGGGAGGGAGCTGGGGGTGGACCGCAGGGAGAGAAAGGAGGAGGGCCTGCAGCTCCAGACTTGGCACCTGTGAACTTAGTTGGAAATAACTCCTGACAGGCATCAACCAGAACACCTTCTAACAGAAACATGCTGACAGGCAGGATGTTCAAACGGGGCAGAAGAGGGGGCAGGTAACCGGGTGAAAGTAACAGCAGCAGAAATAAACACACCATTCCTTCTCTCCCCAGCCCACGCGCAAAAAAAGCCCGTCCTTAGATCGCCCCTCCCCAGCCCTCTGCTCGGGCCGGGCTCGCCCCTGACTTCCCTGCGACCTCGCCCGCAGCCTGCGCCCGAGCCCGAGCCAGGTCGCGGAGTTCGGGACTGCCGCAAAGGAGGCGCCCCCGCAGCAGGGATGCTCGTCTTGCAGCCACACACGCCGGAGGACCGGACAGACGGGCAGCAGAAACTCAAGGCTGCTCTTCCCGCCGTCCTCCTTCCCGCCTCTGCCGGCCGCAAACCGGGGCTGGCCCGAATCCTGGAGCCCAGGGTGCCCCGCCGGGGCGCCTGAGTGCGGCGGAGGTGGCTGACAAGTTCAGGCGCCCGTCCTCCTCCAGCGCCCCCAGAAAGTCAGGATCCTCCCCCGCCCCGCCCCCCACCTCCTGTCCTCCGTCCGCTGAAGTGAAGGGAAGTGGGCTGGATACTGGAGGGGGAGAGGGGAAAAGGAAGACGCCTCCCGCAGCCCCTGCGGCGAAGCACCTGGAAAGGTGAGGGCGCACGTCCCCGCCCCCCGGACCCCGCTCCCGGCGCGGGTACCCAGCAGCGCCCCGTCCAGGGCCCCCCAGCCGCAGCCCCAGCCCCAGCCCCAGCCCCAGCCCCAGCCCCAGCCCCAGCGCGGTTACCTCACTGGCAGCTGCCCGGCGCCTGCAGGTGCCGCCGTTCCAGGAGCGCAGCTTCGGAGGAAACTTCGCGGCTCTCCGGGGCAAACTCCCGCGCACTCCGGGCCGCCGAGAGGGGGCTGAGAGCGGAGCGCGGCGCCGGGCGCGGGGCAGCTCGGAGGCGGGCGCTCACCCCGGCCCCGGCCCTCGTGCGTCCGGCCCGGGTGGGGCTGCTACGGCGCCGCCTTCGCGCCCGCGCCCCCGCCCCCGGCCGGGCAGCTCCGCCTCCCTCGCTTCTCCCTCGTGCCCGCCGCGCGCCCCGCCTGCTGCCGCTCTGCCTTTGTGGCTCCGTCGTCCCCTCTTTCCTCTGACTTTGTGGCCTCGCCTCCACTGGCGACTCGCCCTCCCTCCCAGCCCCCCGTCCCGGGGCTCCGGTGCCACCCCTCGCCCAGTCGGGAAAGTGATGACCCTCGCAGTTCCTTCCCCGTTCGCCCTCTCCTTGTCCGCTCCTACATTTTCTAGAAACCCGGTCTCCAGGGACACATCCGTGGGTTAGAAGGCTGTCGCAAACGCTAACTCCAGAGTCAGAATGAGTTCTGCCGTACAGGCAGGAGGGGGTGTCTGTTCGTTTTAATGCATCGATGATAACAGATCACTAAAGTGCGGCTCAGTTCGGCGGCAGGCTTGCCGAGGCCAGGCTCCCGCAAAATGAGCGTAGCACCTGTTTGTCATATTGGACGCCTAGGAGTTTTCTCAGGCCACGTATTTCAATCAGACAAGCTGACGCTGGCGGTTTTAAAGGGGTTTGCAAAGACCAAGACTACAGTAACATTTTTAAATTAGTAAAGGAAACACCTGGCTTTGGGAGGCCCAAGCGGGAGAATCACTTGAAGCTGGGAGTAAAAGACTTCAGTGAGCTCTGACCCCGCCTGTGCACTCCAGCCCGGGCGACGGGCAAGACCTTGTCTCAAAAGGAAGACGGAGAGAGAAAACAAAAAAAATAGTTCATTAAGGTTTAAGAATTAGTCCTAAACATTATGCTAGCAACAATTTGAGCAAACTAGGGCAAATAAAAATAAATGAACCCTTGATTGCTTATTATGCATTCAGATGATTTCTATAAATTAACAAAGAAAAACTTAACTTTTAAAAAAATCATCAACTAGTTAAACCTACCTTATTATGACATTAGAATTTTGTTGTTGCTGTTGCTGAAACTGAAATGTTATCCTTATGCATTTCAGGTAGGTCTTATTCTTACTAATAGTTTAGGAATAACACATCTGGTAGTAGTGAACTTTAATTCACTGAAGAACTACCATTATAGGACTTGTTTGCTTGATTCTAGTTTCTTTTTAAACACAGCCTGATTTATTATTCTGTCACAAGTGTTTTATTTTCATGTATTTAAAAAATTGTGATAAAAAAGACATTTTTACAATTTTTAGTGTACGGTTCAGTCATGTTAACATACATTCACATTGTTGTGAAATAGATCTTCAGAATTTCTTCATCTTGCAAACCTGAAACTTTATCCATCAAACTGCCCCTTTTCCTCTCCCCTCTAGCACTTGGTAATTACCATTCTACTTCCTGCCTCTATCAATTTGACAATGTTAGATCTCTGATATTATTAATATCCAGAATATGTAAAGAGCTCCTACAACTCAACAACAAAATGTCAAACAACCTGATACAAATGGGCAAAGGACTTGAATACACAAAAGAGTTTAATTTTTAAAATTTGTATATCTGCTGGTTTTATTTTTTGTTTTGTAGATTTTTTTATTTCAGCTTAATTGCACAGGAGTTTTAAAGTTATGAATGTCATATAAACATTATTGAAAATTTGGAAAATTGAAAAAAGTAAACAAATCATTCTACAAGCAAACCATTGTAATAAAGTTTGCCGATTTATTATTAACTTTTAACCCAGAGTCAGTCCTTCATCCCGAGAAGATCTCATTCTCCAACAGGATAAATGTTTCCTGAGTTAAACGTTTAAAGAAACAAGCTAGTGCTCCCTGAGCTGTATTTAACTGACACATGCCTGGTAGGCAATTGATGAGTGCTCCTTGAATGAACTAATCATTTAACTTATTCACTCTTGGTTTGGTTCCCCATGTATCCATCTGTGTTCTATGAATTCTTGGAGTTGGTATTATCCATTCTATCACAGCAATGAGGAAATTCAGGCCAATCTCCTAACACATGAACTCTATTTCTTGGCTGCTGCAAGTCATACAAATTTTGTGGCCTGTGCCTTCTTAGAAGTTGAGCAAAAATATCATTATAACTGTATTATTTGTACATTGAAAAGTTTTAGTAGGTAACAGGGGAATTGGGCATGATCAGATCAATGTATTGAATTTGCTTCATTGATGAGCTACTAGGCATTGCTAGTCCATTGTGGAATTTTCCAGCCTTAAGAATCTATTTTATTCACTTATCTATCACAGCAAATCAAATACTTAGAACTGTGGCTGTCTTTCATTTCTACACCTCTGTTTAAAACTGATTTAAAAAAATTGAAGAATTACTGTTATAGGAAATTGAATTTTGTTAATATCCAAGTTGATGAATAAAGGATCAAAAACATTACCTAAAATGTATATCAAGCACCCGTATAAGATCCATCTTCTCATGCCATTTGATTGGGAGTTTTATTGTTAAGTGAAAATATCATCTTTTAATTTTATAGTTAAACTAATTTAATTTTACACAGTGAATTATTTCTTAAACATTGGTTCACAGCATGTTTCTAAACTCTCCAGTCTACTAGTTTTGTTTAGTTCTTTCAATTTCTTAAGATGTTTAACTATTGACTGTTTCTGGACAAGTGTGAAGCTTGTGGATCACTGATCCTTTAATGAATAGTTTAGTAACAATTATGGTCATAAAAGTGGTTTCTGCATCAAACCTCAAAGAACATTCAACAGCAAGAGTGCCTTTATAGAAGGAAGACTTCATCATTCTCAGGTTCATTTGAAAAAGACACATAATGCTGATACCATTAGGCTAAGGACAACAAAAACGTTAAACTTAACTTTGAAAGCATAACTAGTTGGCCGGGCGCGGTGTCTCACACCTGTAATCCCAGCACTTTGCAAGGCAGAGGCTGGCAGATCATCAGGTCAGGAGATTGAGACCATCCTGGCCAACATGGTAAAACCCTGTCTCTTCCAAAAATACAAAAAATTAGCTGAATGTGGTGGCGAGTACCTGTAATCCCAGTTACTCAGGAGGCTGAGGCAGAAGAATCACTTGAACCAGGGAATCAGAGGTTGCAGTAAGCCGAGAACACGCCACTGTACTCCACCCTGGGTGACAGAGAGGCTCCTAGACTCCATCTCAGAAAAAAAAAACCGAAAGAAAGTATAACTAGGAGTATAAAGAATGACCTCAGTGAGCTGCTCACAGAGATAAAAAATGTGTGTAAGGAGGCCTGGGGTAGAGAGGTAGGAAAACAATAGGAAAGGATACCTTAAAAGCAAGCAAACAAACAAAAAACTATTATAAGGCAGCAGGACACTGCTGTGGGATAGTTCTTGCTATTTTTGAGTTTGTGCTTTTCTTTAATCATGCAGGTGTTAATGATGACTTGGCTTAATGAGTGGCCAAAGTAAAAATTCCACAGAAATGCATTTAGCACAATATGCTAGGTCATGTGGGTGTTGCAAATATCTCTAAACCATCTTATTTGTGGCTCCAACTATTGTTTGAGGGAAAGCAGAGATATATTTATCTGGAAAGGGATATTTTTACACAAGCCCATAGAGGATAGTCCAGTAGCTACAGTAGTTTCCCTTTATCTTATCTTGATTTCATACTGTAGCATAGGAGTAAAACTAGAAAAAAAATAATAGAACGTGATTTATGCTGATGCATGGTCAAGAGAATGCAAGCTAGCCCACTGAATCATAAGGAAAGAATGTCAGAACTCTTGAAAGAGAAGATAAAACCCACCATATCCAGATATTTCTGGGGAAATAAAATAAAAACAAACAAATATTAAAGCAAGATTTAGGCTGAGCACGGTGGCTCACGCCTTTAATTCCAGCACTTTGGGAAGCTGAGGTGGGCGGATCCCAATGTCAAGAGATCCAGATCATCCTGGCCAACATGTTGAAATCCTGTCCACTAAAAATACAAAAATTAGCTGAGCGTGGTGGCAAGTGCCTGTAGTCCCAGATACTTGGGAGTCTGAGGCAGGAGAGGCAGAGTCTGAACCTGGGAGGCGGAGGTTGCAGTGAGCCAAGATCATGCTACTGCACTCTAGCCTGGGCAACAGAGCCAAACTCAAAAAAAAAAAAAGAAAAGAAAAAAAGAGAAAGAAAGACTAACTTAAAATCACTTTTTAGATAGCTTCCATTAGTGCTATGAAATAGAAAGAGAACAGAATTTGTTCATGTTAAGTTGGGCAAGTCTTCTCTCCCTGGGCTCAGTTTCCTCATCTGCAGTGCATGAAGTCATTGAATTTAGTAAGCCCTAAAGGATCCTTCTGGTTTCAAAACTCCCATGATGTCTGATAAAGAACAATTATCTTGACGAAGCTCTTCAAGTCATTCTCACCTTCACATATTGATTTATCTGTATAGTGACATTTAAAGTGAATTCTAATCAGTATATAAAAGTCTGATGTAGACTTTTCTTCTGTAGAAGAAATTGAAAACAACAACAACAAAATATGTGACTACAAGAGAGAAACAAAGGCCTGATTACCAGAAGTCAGACTACAAGATGCAGAATGTGGCATTGTACAAAGTAGAAATTCCCCTCTGAAATTTAAGAAGAAATCATTGTAACATCAGGAATGAATAGAAAATGGTGAAAGCATTAAGATTTTCCAGTCAAGGAGAGATCTGGAAACATAATGATTTACCTCCTGCTATAGCAAGCATGGTATAGCAAATTTTATAATTTAGGGTAGATCAGAATTATTGTGTGATGAAGACATAATTAAGAAAAGATTTGACACTGTCTTAAACATTTTTTAGGGAAGATATTATTTTCTTAAAAATCAAGAAAAAATCAAGGACCAGATATCTATAAATAAAGTACAAATTAAGTGTTCAGAAGAATATCGGGGAGAAAAAGCAGAATGCAAAGGGAAAAATGCCTTATGGAAAGAGCATAGGAGTAATGGTAAATGAGGAAGACTACAACTCCTAAAGAATTATAAATTTTAAATTGTATGAAAAATAATATTGGTTAAACAGAAAAACTA